TGTTATGCCTATATTTATTCACCACGAAGGACCATTTGCCTACTCCATTCCATAAGTCCCATGCCTATCTCATTTTAAGGGTCTATAAGTCTATCTCATCTTATAAGCTCTGATGTTAACTAATTTTAAAACTCTGGTACTTGCTTCTTCTCATAAATTATTATGCATTCTCTATCTCACAGACTTCTGTACCTACATATCTCATAGGTCCCACAGCTTTTCCATTTCACGACCTCATGTGCCTATCTCATCTTATTAGCTATGATGACAACTAATCTCAAGCCCCTATGTTTGCTTTTTCTCATAGAATTTTGTGCATTCTTTATCTCACAGATTTCTTTACATACCCATCTCATAAATCTATGGGTATCATGTTTCATAGGTTCATGCATTAATGATGACAACTAATATCAAACTGTGGTGCTTGCTTCTCCTTATAGGTTCTTGTGCTTTATATCACAAACTTCAGTACATACCCATCTCATAGGTCCCAAGCCTATCTCATTTTGCAGGTCCATGTGTCTATCTTATCTTGTTAGCTCTGATATTAACTAATCCCAAGCTTCTGTACTTGCTTCTTCTATTAGGTTCCTATGCACTTTTCTTCTCATACACTTTTGTATATACCTATTTCATAGATCCTATGACTATCTCACTTCACAAGTCCATGTATCTATCTCATCTTATGAGCTCTGATGTCAACTAACCTCAAGCTTTTATTTTTTCTTTTTCTTATAAGTTCTTGTACATTCTTCATTTCTCACACTTATATACATACCAATCTCATAGGTCCCAAGACTATCTCATTGCACTGGCCCATGTGCATTGATGTTAACTAATATTAAACTTTTGTACTTGCTTCTTCTCGTAGGTTCTTACGTATTATTCATCACAAACACTTCTATACATATCCATTTCATAGATCCCATGATTATATCACTTCACGGGCCTATGAGCCTATCTCATCTCATGAGCTACAATGTCAACTAATCTCAAGCGCTTGTGCTTGCTTCTTCTAATTGATTCTCATGTATTATTCATCTCACATACTTTTGTACCTACTCATCTCATAGGTCTCATGGCTATCTCATTTTACAGGCTTATAAGCTTATCTCATTTTATGAGCTTTGATGTCAGTTAATCTCAAGCTTTTATGCATGCTTCTTTGCATAAATTTTGGTACATTCTTCATCTTGGATAGGTTCCATGTGCTTATCTTATCTTATTAGCTCTGATATCAATTAATCTCAAGCTCTTATACTTGCTTCTTCTTATAGGTTCTTGTACGTTCTTCATCTCACATACTTCTATACCTATCTATTTCATAGGTCTTATGGCTATCTTATTCCACAGGCCCATGAGTCTATCTCCTCTTGCATACTCTGAAGTCAGTTAATTTCAAAGCCCTTGTACTTGCTTTATCTCATAGGTTCTCATGCCTTCTTCATCTTACAAGTTTTTGCACTTACACACTCTATAGGCTTTCATGCTTTCTACTTTCATAAGTCCATACCTTCTCTTATAGGCCCTTTTGCACATACCTAGGACCTATGCCTAATTAGGCTTTTGTGCATATGCACTCCTAAGATTGCACACATCATAGGTTAGCGTGCTTGTTCTAATAGTTTTGGTGTTTACGCCACTTAATATGTCTCACATCTACTCACCTCATAGGCCCTCATACCTATTATGTCTCATAAGATATCGTGCTTTTTCATAGACTTTCATGCTTGTTACATCTCATAAACTTTTGCACGTACTTACCTCATAGCTTCATGTTTGTTGTATCTCATAAGCCATCATGCCTGCACTTGTTAGGCTCTAATGTTAAATCCTCATGCTTACTTTAATCCATAGGTATCTAGACCTTCTCTATTTTACAAACTTTATGCTTCTACATAGACCTCATAGGTTCTCGTGCTTTCTTAATCTAATAGGTCTCTATGCTCGTGGCATCTAATAGACTCTTACCTACCCACCTTATAGGCTTTCATGCTTGTTACTTTCAAAAATCCATTTCTTGTCTATCGTGTAAGCCTTCGTGCCTATATAGGTTCTATGCTTATTACATTCCTTTGACCTTTATGTTTATGAACGCGTAAGCTTATTGTACCTCATAGGTTAGCACGCTTTTTCTTACAGGCCTCCCTCACTTACCAACTAATCCCTCACGTAATTTCATCTCATCGGTTTCTACGTGTTTTCTTATAGGTCTCTATGCTTGTGGCCTTCGATAGACTTTTACCTACCCACTTTGTAGGCTTTCATACTTGTTGCTTTCAAAAATATATCTCTTGCCTATTGTGCAAGCCTTCGTGCCTACATAGGTTTTATGCATATGAACTCCTAAGCTCATTGTACCTCATAGGTTAGCGCGTCTATTCTTACTTGCTTACCAACGAAGCCCTCATGCAAGTTTTTCTCATAAGTCTCTATGTGCGCTTCGTCTCCAAGGACTTAGTGCCTATTGTAATCTTAGGCATAATGCCTATTTTACCTTGTAGGCTTTTATGTTAGTTTGTTTTAAAAGCTATACTGCCCATTCATCTTACAAGTACCCGTGTTCATACATCCCTGAGGCCTAAGCCAATACATGTACTTAATCATAAGCTTCATGTATTTTGTGCATCAAAGAATGTTGTGCTTGTTGCAATTCACAAGTCTCATGCTTCATATTTCAGAGGCACTCATACCAATTTTTCTTAAAGGTCCATATAATCATTCCATCACTTATGCCTCATATATCTCATAAACTTTACTCTTATTCTAGTTGGATCCCGCAAGGCTTCTTATTATCTCACATGCCTATGTTTTATTCTCATCTTATACTCTTGCATGTTTGAATCATCTTATGAGCCTTATACATACCTCATTTTGTAGGCCTTGATTGACTTCTTTATTGTTCTACCAAAGCTCAGTAGCGAACTGTATCTTTAATTTTTTATTAAAGCTTGAAATCTTATCGACACATTTACATTTTTTAAAGTCCATAATCTTATCGAGTGAAATAAATGTTTTTAGAGTTAAAATAAAATTTTGCACAATTAATTGGAAGGTATCTGTTTTAAACCAATGGACGTCGAAAGGTGCTAATACCTTCCTTAAACGTAAATGATTCCCGAGCCCAAATCTAGTTTCGAATATTTTATTTTAATTAAAAAAAATTTTCAATGTTTTCTTTAATAAACTTTGGTAGCGACTTCTTGTCATCGCCGTCCCGTCGTGACTGCAGTTGTGACAGAAATAAATAATTATAGATAAAATTTGTGAATTTGAAATGTAAATGGATAAGAAAATTTTAATACTAAAAACTTGATTTTAATATAAAATAAAATTATGTAAATATTTTCCATTATAATAATAAAAAACTAAATCAATTTATTGTTAAAAAAGGATAAAGTCATAATAATAATAATAATAATAATAATAATAATAATAAAAAATAACGAATTAGCTGTAATTAAAAAGTAAAATAATAACGAAATAAATTATGTTATAAAGTGGCCGGTGGATCTCTAGGCCCTTTGTAGAGTCCCTCTTGTTTTTGGACGGTGAAGTCCTTTTTCTAGAAAAAAAATGTTATATTACTGTCTGTTAAGTTTTATTAAATTTTTTTGTTAAATTTTTTTATCATTACGATATTTTAAAATAGTACGATGTTGTAATAATATCTTTAAATTTTTATTATTTTTGGGAAAAATCTTATTAATATTGTTCAATGATATTTCATAATACTATAATATTATTTTATTTTTTTATTTCTGTCAAAGTATTAACAAGATGAACGAAAGGGTGTGTGGAGAGAGGGAAGTGATAGTATATTAAATGAGATAACATTTAGAAAAAGATCAGTGAGAATAAAGATTGAAAAAAAATACCGTTATTTAATTTTATATATTAAAATATTTTTAAAAGTTATCTTAAACGATTTTTTTAAGAAATATTTTTTGTAACTTATTATGTTATATAATTTCTTGTATTTATTTTAAAAAAAAATATTTTAAAAATGTGAGATCTTTTGTTTCGAATGCTTTTTGAAAACTGTTTAAGTAAATTATAATAAAATGGTAATTTTTAATAAGGAAGTATTATTTTCTTTATAACAGCGAAGATTATAATTTAATATAAAAAATTAATCAATATATCGTGAAATTAATTATAATTGCTTGAGCTTTTGCATCTAGATCTCGAGTTTTCAAAGACTCATTTATGATTTGATTTACCAAAATCACGGTATTGTTTTTAATTTATTGTAATTATAAAATCAATTTGAACAGGCCAATTTTCTTTGGTGGATGAAGAAGGGGCAGCTATAATTCTGCAAAAAAAGAAAAGAAAAGAAAAGAAAAAGTCAAAAACCAAATGGAGAGAAACACAAATATGGCCATTATGCATTTGTGCTTGTCTTTCTTAAATGCTATAGATTGTGGTTTTACTTTTTAGTCAATGGCTTGAAATTTAAGCACGTGATATTGTGCCAATGGGAGAAGTTGTATATAGCAAGAGAAATAATATTTTGAGTTGAATGAAATTAATATTACGTAATACTCACACTAATGAAGGTTACGTCATTGAATTAATTTTGAAATGCTATTTACTCCACTCAAAGAATAGGTATTAGAAATTCAGTGGAAAGTGGACTGAGTCTGAGTCACAAGACAAAAGGCCGAGAAAGGGTCGTTTGTCTGAGTGTGTGTTTTATTAAGGACAATCTGTATTTGTAACAACCTTAAATTTTTCATTATAAACAAAAAAAGGAAAAGGAACATTTGATGAATTTTATGTTTGATAATATTTTGTTTGTTTGTGGCACCGCGTTGTTCGGTTCCCGCTCCTTACGTCAACTAACTATATTATCTGATCTGAAAATTAAAGGAATGGTACTTATCCATACCTTAAACGAATTTGAATGAATTACCAATACGATCACTATCATATTCACGATCACCATCTTCTCCATAAATTTTTCTTTTTCAAAATTGCCAATTGCTTGTTGCTAATAAACACTTTTTCTTTGAACTTTGGTTTTGATTTTGATGCACAAACAACACAATAGCCCTTTGTTCTCTGCTTTTCAATGCCGGACATGAAATCACCTTCTCGAGTACCCTTTCGTTCCTTTGTTCTATTTCATATCTTTCTAGTTTGTTGCTTCAATTCATGCTTTTCTTCTGTTCTTATTTCGTTTCAGAAATATGCTCTTCTTTTTCCTTTCAATTTTTTCGGTCTCTATTTTGTTGTCTAAGGAATTAAGAATGAAAAAGAAGTCACAATTTTTATGGAAAAGAAATTACAACGCTTTTCAATTCTATTACAATATTGTGTATTGCTTTTTTCTAACCTTACATTCTCTTATGTTGAACCAGGTATTTGTGGCTGCTGAATCAAAGAGTAGAAAATCTTGTCTTTATGCGATCCTCCCAGCCGCTTCTTTAATTTGTGTTGTTGTATTTTTCATAAGTTCGTTCTTCTCACAAGGCTACAAAGAGGTATATATTATAAATAGAAAAATAATTTTTTCAAATTGATAGACCAATGAGTTTGACTTTGATAAACTATAATTCATGTTCTTCCAAATCTCATACAGGAGAAACTGTTAAGCCAGAGTGTGCACGTAGATCAGAATGTGACAATTGATAAATGCAAGGTTCATTCTCTGACTGTGCATGCTTTCCTTAATCTTATACTGTTTCATATGCTCAACTTTCGTGCTAATATTTGTTTATCTTGTTTAGTAGAATCAGTGCAGGCCTAATGGAAGTGAGGCATTACCTGCAGGCATAGTCTCCAGTACTTCCAGTTTGGAAATGAAACCTTTGTGGGATCCTCCCATGCCTAGGAAGGGTAGACAAAGAGTAGAAGTAAGTTTACCCTCTGCTTGTAGATAATTTTTTTTTTATTAATGTAGGAAGTTATTTGTTGTCTGATTCATGTAGCTAGTCTTACCCAGTGAAATAGGACTATTTTTGTTGTTGTTGTTGTTGTTATTGATGTAGCCTATGTGGTCTCTTTAATTGATCTTCTCTTGACAAATGGCCGTGTTTATTTTTCTCTGATTCTGGTGTGTGCGCTAACTTGCCTGAATTTGAATAGGTTAAGGTAAATGCATCATCAACCTATTTTCTTGCGATGGCTGTTGGGATAAAGCAGGAGGATCTTGTGAACAGAATGGTCAAAAAGGTGCTTTAACGAGTTTTGTACAAATTGTTCATTGCAATTACTCTATGTTGTCCATGGGTGATGACCTCCTTTCTACACTACATCGCAGTTTCTGGCAAGTCATTTCACTGTGATGCTCTTTCACTATGATGGTGTTGTTGACGGATGGAAGGATTATGAGTGGAGTAGTCGTGTCATTCATGTGTCGGCAATCGGTCAAGGCAAATGGTATGTGTATAGGTGACTAGGTGATCCATATTTTAATTAACCAGTTATCCCAAGTATGTTTTGTCCTTGACATTTTTTTAATGATTAGGTGGTTTGCGAAGCGTTTCTTGCACCCCGACATAGTTGCAGCATATGATTATATTTTCCTTTGGGATGAGGACCTAGGAGTTGAGCATTTCCACCCAGATAAGTATGTTCAGAATATGATGTACCTTCTTAATTTTTGTTAATTACATGTTACAATTATATAGTTTGATACACTTGAAATTCAATTCAAATGGGCAATAAAAAGTTTATATTCATATCCTGCCTCATATGGTTTTTACCATATTTCTTCTTAAATGATTTTCAGGTACGTTTCTATCATAAAAAAGGAAGGGCTGGAGATATCTCAACCAGCATTGGATCCTAAGAAATCAGAAGTGCATCATCAGATTACTGCACGTGGGAGGAGGTCCAAAGTGCACAGGTTCACCCGTATACCCTTTTTCATGTTCTCAACACTATGTTGGTCCTATTATATCATTAGTTAGACCATGGCGTACCATTGGCAGTTTTCACTATTGCAACAAGTACTTCTTTAGAACAGACTCTGCTATAATGTGACTCACAAATCCTTGGAATTTGACTTAATTATATACGACCGAATTATTGATACACTTTGAAGGAAGTCCATCTTACCTTGCCTGTTTCTGATAGCAACTAAGGTTTGCTTATGGTTTTATGGTTTAGGTAGTTACCAACTTGTAATCCCATATTACACCTAATCTGAGCTAAAATCACCTCAATATGTATTAATGAGCATTTATTGAAAAAATTAAAAGAAAGAGAGAAAAGACATGTTTTACTTAGAATAATAGTTGTTACCAGGTAAGTGTTCCTTAAAGCAGATGCTTATACTCACGAATATGTTGTGCCTGCTTTTGGTTTTTGTGCTTGCAGAAGGACATATAAAGCTAGTAATGATGGAAAAGGCTGTGATGCAAGCAGCACTGCTCCTCCTTGTACCGGGTAAGAAAATCTTGTGCTAATAACAAATTTAATGTGGATTTCCCTTCATTTTACGCAGTTGAAGAAAGGTGAACTAATTTGTTTCAGGTGGATAGAAATGATGGCTCCTGTTTTTTCAAGAGCTGCATGGCGTTGTGTTTGGTATATGATCCAGGTACACCACTCTCCCCGATTAATGCTGCTGTGGAGCATTACTAGAAGCATTTCTCTATAAAGGTTAAGATTACATATTTATTCACCATCTATGGTTTTGTTTTATAGAGTGACTTGATCCATGCATGGGGTCTAGACATGCAACTTGGCTACTGTGCTCAGGCAAGTTAAGCTACCTTTTGGTTCAATTTCGCGATTTCCTGTTTTTAAATACATCATAGATGTTGTTGGTACATTTCTCCAATTAAAATCAAAATTTCATCAAGGTAACTATTGTTTTCATCTAGGTAACTAAAACTGGTGATGATTATCTGGATGAAATGTAAATTTTGATTGGACAACACTAATAGTATTCGTGGAATTATATTTAAATTTTGTTCTGTTGTTATTTCTGATGAACAGGGTGATCGACTAAAAAATGTTGGGGTTGTGGATGCTGAATACATTATCCACTACAATCGTCCCACCCTTGGAGGCATAGATAATACTACGGTGAGAAAAGTGGCATTTTTAAGAGTTTAACTAAGAAGAAATGCGTGCCTTAATTCTTTAAGATTAAAATTTGTTAGCATTAGCATGCTTTTTATCTGAAACGTGTGTTTCATTCTATCTGCTTTCTGCCATAAAACTGAGACTTATCTGTGACTTGCAGGTACAATCTCAGGAAAAGGATCATAGAGTTGATGTAAGTTACTAGGTTGTTATGATTTCTGAATTTATGTCACTGAATGTTCCATTTTCTTGTTTCATAATTACTCATCCAGCCCAATTCAGAATCATAGTCTGGTACTAATCATATTCATTGAATAACTTGTGTTTCTAGATGGGCTAATACTTACGTTCTGTTTGTTGGATAGAAAAGTCCCTTGAGTGACTGGTTTAGTATATTACGCTCAAATATTGCAATTTTCATTAGACCCTCGTCACCTTCAATGAAAGGATTCAAGGACTAATAACCTGGGCCATTTAGATTCAGATTGATAGATGACATATGGGATAGTGTATTTGAGATTCTTGCATGAGAAAAACTTCAGCCAAACAATTAGTGATTGCTATTTTATAAGTGTATTGCCTTATCTTAATTATATATAATTTTCTTCTTGTTACTAACATTATTTTGGGGGCTATGCAGGTGAGGAGACTTTCTTACCGGGAATTAGACATTTTTAGAAAACGTTGGGAAAAGGCAGTTGAGGAGGATGAATGTTGGGTCGATCCATTTCAATAGCCAGTGCAGGAATTGGAGTGATAGACTAAGTTACATGTAAATTTTGTACCAAAAAAGACATGTCATTTATGTAAAGAGGAGCAAATGCATCTGACAGCAAGTGTTGATCATGGGTACGGAGAAAGCTTAGAGGATCTCAAGTACAACAGGACCCCTGAAATAAAGTTTTATCTTGACAAGCTAGTGCATTTAGTGAAATTTTTTTCCCTTTTATTCGATCAGCTTTGAAGGTAAATAAAATGAAAATGGGGTAGATATGATGAGAGAGAAGTTAGATACGTAGACTCTTGATTTTGTTTTTCTTGAGTAAGCATTTTATAGTCATTTTTTTTAATTTTTATTTGAGAAAAGAAACTGATGCCAAGTGCATTTGAAGACAGTTAATGATGAGTGATTTTATTAAATTTTCTAGTATTTATGTTATCTGCTCATGTTTCAATTTGGATGATTACTTGATTCCACACGTCAGTAACAAATACATATTAAACTGAGCTTCCTTCCTTATATATTTTGTTTTCCACAAGTTAAAATGAAACTTAATTGTTTATTTATTTGAGGATCTTAACACAATATTTTGTAGCCCTCTAATCATTACACAGTATAAAAGTTTATTTTAATTATAATTGTAAAGCCAATAATGAACTAAGAAATAGTTGAATTTACATATTGATCCACATCCACCCACGGATATCTTTAAGAGAGTCATTAACGAGACCTCACAGAAAATCTTAAGAGATTGTTACTACTTTATCGTATGTGCTGCAGAGAGTGACCCCATACAGAGTCTTAAAAATCAGCATAGATGAAATAAACAAGCTAGCTTACCAAAATTTTTAAGTAAGAGGATAAAACAGACACAACCCATCATTGGATCCTTCAATTATCCTTACAATAGCACATGGGTTGTTGCTGATATGAGGTCAGAAAGATTCCCAAACACACTTCTCAAGATGCATGATTCAGATGCAACTCTCTAAACCAAAGCCTACAACCAAAGGCCTCAGCCTCACAAATTTATCAATACAGGTGTGCGATATTCATCCCTTATTAATTTAACATCATAGAAGAGCTGGTATTAGTATCATGAAAGACTTCAGAAAAGAGAGAATAATACACAGACCAAGGTGAAAAATTATGATTAAGCCCAAAAGTCATGACTTGACATTCGGAATGGACACCAGAGAAGCTGCAACAGAATAATTAAAGATGGCATTCAAAGCAATTACAAGTCCTAGGGGTGAAGGAACAGAAGCCAAAAGGTCTATTGGGAATGTTGCAATTGATGGCATAGCAACAGGGAGAGGGCAAGCAGAGCCCTTTGGCTCCACCACAGCAGGTGCATAGTGCACATATCTGAAAGACTCCCAACTTCCTCCTCCTCTCATTCATCATCATACGCATGGAAACTGCACCCCCATTTGCCTCCTAATTATGAAAATTGAGCTATAAATTCGACAAAATTCATTTGTATTTTAAGGAAAAGGAGAGAAGACTCACATGCACATTGGCTAATAAAATGGACAAAAGAATGAGAGAGATGATGAGCCCATGAGCATGAGCAGAAGCATGCATCTTGACAAGAGGTTGGTGATGGAGAGTGAATTTTATTTGTTTCCCGAAAACTAAACTACATTACTAGTTTTGCAGACTCTTTGCGTTAAGGGGAAGGGGAAGGACAAGGACAAGTGTTTCCTTTGAAATCAGAGACCACCAAGAGAGTGACCCCTCTTGTCTCTATTCTGTGCTGTCTACTCTCTAGAGTTAAAGGCTAGAGTGGATAACACCATCACATTTGATTGACAATGCCATCAATTTCCTATTATGTGAAAATCTCTCTGAACCTAGTGCTAGTTAAAATAAGAAAAATTCTTAATCAATGTAATTGGGTATTGGGATATTAAGAAATTAAAAAAAATATATTTTGTTTAAAAATATACTTTTTAATACATTTTAACATGATTTTTAATAAAATATACCATTTATTAATTCCTTATAATAAGTATCTTTGCCAAACTCTTAAATAATCATTTAGTTACACGTTTCAAAATTGCATAATAATAAAAATCCATGCAAAATAGTATGTAACAACATAATAGTTTTGGTTGTAAATGATAGCATGGTTTTAATTTGATGGAAACACTTCATCAATTAGTTGCATGGAGGCATAATTTTTTTTTTCTTGTACAGTCTGTATAAGTTACATAAAAGCAATAAGATATTAATATATCATCTATAAGTATATGAATATATATATCAAACAAATATTTTATTTTTAAAATAATAATAATACGTTGTTAATTTTATATAATTGTTTTAGATTCTTTATTCGACAATACTTGTATACATCATATTCGATCTACAACTTTTAGAAAGTTATGGCTCCTTCTCGTTCATATAAAAGATGTCAACTATATCTGAGCTAGAATTTCTGAAAGTTCAGTCTCTCCTCTTTTAACTACAGATATATAAGATGCTATGCACATCACATCGAGGCTTAAGTTGAAAAACATAATATGGAAAGATAGTGAGGTTTATTCCTGACTAAATATTACTTTTTTTTTCTGATTTTTAAAGAACTATTTAGGAAAGTTTATTAATAACTTATGATTATGAACAATCTATAAAAATAAATTATAATTTTTCAATTTTTTTAATTTTTTAATAAACTTACTGATACAATATAAGTTATTAGCTTATTTTAACATAAATTATCGTTTAAAAATAATTTAATAAATATTTAAATAAGCTGTATATTTTCTTTTTTACTTTATTTTACTATCAAGCTTCTGATTACTTTTTTTATGTGGACATTCTTAGACGTGCTTTCATTTTCACTTTGACAAGAGTTATGAAGATTGTCGGCCACACTTAAGTTTTTATCCTCTTAAACCTGTTTTCTTCACCACTTTCCATTTATGTATTTTCGTCGGCACCTGCTTGGACATATTTAACACAGATTTTGTTGTACATCTCCCGTGAACAACCCACGTCTAATATAATACAGTGGTTGCATTAGCGAAAGTGAATACTGATAATCTAAGCAGAAGCCCCAACGCATTCCTCACATCATGTACAAAACCCATCAAACAACCAAAAAACGTGTTGAGATCTGGTAACATATTACACATCCTGATTGCTGCATGGAACAGAGGACTAAAATAAGGAACTGCTGTAGCCTGAAAACAATGGAACCATTCCTATCTCTGCTCACTCTGCAGGACTAGACCTGTCAATAGGACATACCTGGTGATACATGCAACTATTCAGCGGCAATAGGGAAAAATATACTACTTGCATTTCGATTTATCTACCTAGAGAAAGAAGAAATTTATTCTTAGGTATTTGTTTACGTAAACATTCAAGATAATATTAATTTTTATTTTTTCACTAATATCATTTTATCTATATAAAAATTCTAAGTATAATAAATAAAACATTTACGCTTACTGAGTAGCTTAGAGATTAAAAAAAAATAGACCTACTAATATAAGATAAATTAAAAAATTAAAAATCTTGTCAAATAATTTTAACAAAATGATTAAATTATTTACTCGATAATTTATTTTCTCTCTTACCAGATGAATAAGGTAAGAGTTAGGATTATATCAAGCATAAAATAAAATGGTTGGGGGGAGTTTCCAATAAACTCTGCTTTTCGGATATACTGCTAAGTGCAAACTAGCACATAGTGAACGTTCAAGACAATGTTAATGTTTAAATCAAACTAAAAGAAAGAATCGACTCTGTACTCCTCATAACATGCACATGATTTGGTAAGCAATACAATACGTTATCTTCACTGACCGAAATGCTACTTCCTAAAACCTCCATTCAAGATATAAATTCCAGATTATGATTCGATGCATGTGAAACTGCAAACCGAACTGCGAGCAGAAAAACCCATCTAGTCTCCAACAATCCACCCACCTGTAATTGGACAATGCAATTTATAGCCAGAACCCCATAGCACTTTGATGGACACCAACTGGTGTGAGAATAAAGACTGAATCGTATTCAATTGAACTGATAGGAAATTAAAAGTTACATAAGAAATTGAGCAAAACAGATTAAGTAAAAAAACTAAGTTACATAGAAAATTGAGCAAAACGGATTGAGTAAAAAGACTTTCTTCCAAGATGTTCGAGAGCCTGGTCTCTCTCTTTCCAAATCCACTCAAAAACTGTCTGTTCTCCTTCCTACCTTTTTTCCTATTTTTATTCTGCTCGTAATTGCTTAGAGGCAGTTACGATTGCCCACGCTTGCCCTCACTAATTAAAATAACTAAGATAATTCAATCCTATTAAAAAATCTAAGTCTTGACTCTCTTCTTATAGTGTTTACTTATAAGAGGCCTAACAATACTCTCCCCCAAAAGAGTAACCTTGTCCTCAATGTGAAAAGAAGGAAATTGCTGCATGATGGTTTCCACTTGTTCCTAAGTGGCTTCAAACTCTGATATGTCAGTCCACTAAATAAGCACTTTGACAGTCCTGTGAGAAGTGTTACATACTGCTTTCACAGCAGTTGGTGTTACCTGCAATTCCAACTCTTCTGACAACATAGGTGGTAAAGGTTGAGGGTTTGCTTAGGGGGAGAGGGCCTTCTTGAGTAAAGAAACATGAAACACAGGGTGGATTTTACTCTCTAGTGGAAGGGCTAACTGAAAAGCAACTGCTCCAATTTGTTTGGTAATCTGATAAGGACCATAAAAACGCAAACTCAGCTTCTCATTCGTTGTTCGAGCCAATGACCATAGCCTATATGGCTGTAACTTGAGATACACCCAATTGCCAATAGCTAAGGATATTGGGCACCGGTCAACATACTTCTTCATTTGATTCTAGACTTTGACCAAATTTCCTTTAAGATCATGTAACATTTTGCCCCTGTCATAGGTCATCACGTTCACCTCTTCCATAGTTGATGGAATAGTGGCTCCTTTCAAAAGATAGGGTGGGTCGCAGCCATACAATGCTTTGCAAGGAGTCAATTTTGGAGAGCTGTTGTAGTTGGTGTTAAACCAGAACTCAGCCCAACTCAACCACTTAGGCCACTGCTTAGGTTTAGTTCCAGTGAGGCACCTCAGATAAGTCTCTAAGCACCGGTTTGACCATCTGTTTGGGGATGGTACGCAGAGCTAAACTTGAGTTTAGTGCCAGCCAACTTGAATAATTCTGACCAAAAGTGGCTTAAGAATATTTTGTCACGATCCGATACAATATAAGAGGGGAACCCGTGCAATTTAACTACTTTCGTGATAAAAATTTCAGCAACCTCTTTGGCAGTAAAGGGATGGCTAAGTGCAATGAAATGAGCGTATTTAGTCAATCTATTAACCACTACTAAGATGACATTTTTGCCTTGAGCCTTGGGAAGCCTTTCAATGAAGTCTATGGATATATCAGCCCACACTTGAGTTGGTATAAGCAGTGGTTGAAGAAGTCCTGTTGGTGATAGAGCTTGATATTTATTCGTTTGGCATGTCTCACAAGTAGCTACGTGATGGTGGATGTCTTTCCTCATGCCTTCCCAATACACAACTTCAGAGATTCTTTTATAGGTTTCAAAGAAACCTGAATGTCCCCCCATAGCAAAGTTGTGAAATTCTTGTAACAACAAAGGAATTTGTGAAGAGCCTTTTGGAAGCACTAATCGACCTTTATAAAACAGCTTTTGATTCTGAAATTTGTAGCCCGAATAGGAATTAGAATCTTGTATCAGATCATGAATTATCCCTTGGAGCTTTGGATCTTGATGAATTTTAGATGCCCAACCTTCTATTTGTTCAAAGTGGACTGAAGACAAAGTTAAAAATATCATTTTTCTGGAGAGAGCGTCAGCCACCCCATTCTCATTTCCTAGTCTATAACGTATCTCAAAATCCAAACCCATAAGTTTAGAGGTCCACTTGAAATATTCCTTGCTCATTAGTCATTGTTCGGTTAGAAATTTGAGGCTCTTCTAATCAGTCAGAATTATGAAGTGTCTTCCCAACAAGTAGTGCCTCCATTTTTGTACAACCATCACAATCGCCATTAATTCTCTCATATACTGACTTAGATTGTGCCCTATTAGATAGTCTGGCTAAGGAAAGCCATAGGCCTGCCCTCCTGCATTAGAATCGCCCCTAGCCCTATGTTTGATGCATCAATTTCTATAGTAAATGTTTTGGAGAAATCGGGGGTAGTCAATATTGGTAATTCGGCCACTAGGTTTTTTAATTTTTCTGGGGCAGCTTGTGCTTCATCATTCCACTGAAACTTATCCTTCTTCAACAGTTATCTTACCATAATCTCTAACAAATCTTCTATAGTACCCTGTCAATCTAAAAAATCTCCTCAAAGCTTTAATATCCTTAGGTATTGGCCAGTCCAACATCGCATCAATTTTTCGTGGATTGCTGCCACCCTTTTTGCTGAAATGATATGCCCCAAATATTCTAATTGAGTTTGGTTAAAAGTACATTTTTTTAGCAAACAATTGGTTCTCCTTCAACAATGCCAAAATGGCTCGTAAATGCCTCTGATGTTCCTCCTCATTCTTACTGTAAACCAGGATATCATCAAAGAAAACAAGCATAAATTTTCTCAAATACGACTTTAGCACCTCGTTCATAAGAGATTGAAATGTGGAAAGGGCATTGGTGAGTCTGAAAGGCATGACAACAAACTCATACTGCCCTTCATGAGTCTGGAAAGCCGTTTTATGGATGTCTTCTTCCCGCATTCTGATTTGATGGTAACCGGATCGTAAATCCAACTTAGAAAAAACCACTGCTCCTCCCAATTCATCCAGCAATTTATCAATGATAGGAATAAGGAACTTATCTGGTATAGTAATCTTGTTAAGAGCTCAGTAATCTACACAAAAATGCCATCCCCATATTTTTTCTTCACCAAGATTATAGGAGTAGAATAAGGATTAACACTAAGTCAAATTATACCAGAGTTAAGCATATCATCTACTAACCTTTCAATTTCATTCTATTGGTAGTGTGGGTACCTATATGGTTTGATGTTGGGGATATTAGACTCGTCCTTCAACCTAATCGCATGGTCTTGCCTTCTAGGGGGTGGTAATCCCTACAACTCTTGAAATACCGATTTGTAATCTTCCAAAACTGATTCCGTCTGCTTTCAGCTTGCATTTGACAATACTTTACTAGGAATCCTTGGCCTTGATCCCGTAGAGCCTTCATTAACTGGAATTCTAAGAGTTAATTCACGAAAATTTGCTCTTATTTCTCCCAGACTAGCCAGCCATTCCATTCCCAACACCACATCCACTCCTCTAAGATCAAAGACAGAGAAATCTTGTTGAATTTTTAGACCTTGCATCTCCAACTTCAATTTAGGACATACTTCTTCACAATCTAGCTTTCTCCTGTCACCCACCTCCACTGTATAAATGGAGGTTGCATACATATCTAGTTTTTGTGGTTTCACCAACGTGGCTAAAATGAAATTATGAGAGGATCCACAATCAATAAGTACCATGACCTGCTCTTTCCCAATCTTCCCCCACAACTTAATTGTTTTCTTTGACGTAAGACTAGTAGTAATGCTACACATAGATAACAAGAGGTCTTTTAGTTCTCCCTCTTCCTCGAGCACCATAGTTTCTCCCTTTGCATCCCCTTCTTCTTCCCCTTCGGCTAACACTAAAATTTGTAACTGTTTGTTTGCACACACATGGCCCAAACCAAACTTTTCATGACACCTAAAACACAATTCCTTCTTAGACCTCTCTTGTAGTTCTGCATCGATTAACTTTCTAAAGCTTCTTCCTCTGAAGGTATTAGAAAGTTTCACCACACTTCCTTCTCCTATAGCACTTCTAGTTCCAGATGCATTGGACTGTTGCTTCGCTCCCTGTTCCCACGTCACCATGATCCTCATTGGCCTACTCATCATACCTATTGGATTTCCCCTTTTGGTGGCCAACTAGTTCTTTTCATTCACTCTCTGTGCATAATCCATTAATTTCACCAAGCTCTTTGTTGGACGAAGCTTTAATTCTACTTTAATTACTTCCGTGAGGCTATTCAAAAATATGCCCTTCAAGTACGCTGGTTCTACACTCTTTAACGGACCAGCATAGAGTTTGAACTTATCTTTGTATTCTTCCACTGAACCTTTTTATTTGAGACTCAACAATAGTTCAAAAGGATTTTCAACCATGGTTGGTTGGAAACGCCTAATAACCGCTGCCCTAAAATCCTCCCAAGTTGGTTGGTGCACCAAGAACTCCCACCATTGATACCAAGTCAACGCTTTTCCTTCCATTGCCACCATAACTGCCTGTAATTTTTCTTCTCCAGACATCTCTTTTAAATCAAAATATCTCTCCACTCTAGTTGTCCAGCCATACACATCCTCTCCATCAAAAATAAGTATCTCTAACTTCCTCCACCTATCCACCTTGTATCGTCTGGCATTATGGCTTCCCTGTGTTCTGCCCTAAGAAATTGTTTGGCTTCTGTCATCGTTCTCTTCCTCCTATCTCACACGAATTTCTTGCACTGAGGCCTGCATTTCATTTAACTGTTCAGTTCTCTTCTCCATTGTTTCACGCATCGCCAACAAGCCTTCGAACCCCCTCTCTAGTGCCACCATGCTGTGCGTTGACACCATGAATGATCTCCAGGAACTTGTTGCTTTGATACCAGTTGATGGACACCAACTGGTGTGAGAATAAAGACTGAATTGTATTCAATTGAACTGATATGGAATTAAAAGTTACATAGGAAATTGAGCAAAACAGATTGAGTACAAAGGCTTCCTTCCAAGATGTTCGAGAGCTTGGTCTCTCCCTTCCCAAATCCACTCAAAAACGGCCTGCCCATCTTCCTACCTTTTCTCCTATTTTTATTCTGCTTGTAACTGCTTAGAGACAATTACGCTTGCCCCTACTAATTAAAATAACAGCTGCTAAAAAAATTAATAACTGCTAAGATAATTCAATCCTATTAAAAAACCCAAGTCTTGGCTCTCTTCTTATAATGTTTACTTACAAGGGGCCTAACACACTCTACAATAACAAAAGTACCATTTGTGTTGAGGCTTGACATGGGAAAAAGTATATCAACAAGGTTCTGCTTTCACTGCAATATTCATAATCAAGACTTTCTACCCTCAACTTCTGCAAAACAAACTCTGTCAAGGACAATCACTACAGATAGTATAAATAAATCAGGAGAAAATAAAAGTAAAAATGAAAATTACATTCCAGCAGTGTTATTTATAAAGACATAAAATCCTAGTTAATTTCATAGGACACGGCTTATGCTAAATTCTGGTAAGAATGTACAAGGATATAAAACGAAGAAAGGTATTGGCAATATTGCTGGCTCTTGCCACTGAAGTATTCTATACATGCACAGTAGACAGCATAAACCAAACTGCAGTGAGAAAGTAAAGGCTTTGAAATTTCAAACCTGCACCCAATAAATATTCAAAGAGGTAAAATTAGGTCATTACAGATTTCCAGAGAGACTTTTTACATAATGAGAAAAGTTAATTATAAAGACTGGTGGCTTAAGGACAGAAGGATTATTCACATTGGGTTTGACCAAATGTGACAATATTTGTTAAAATTCATACAATTAGCTAGGCAACATGAAATCCAGAACAATTGAATCTGTCAACTGCATTTAATTTCAAGATTGACAGAATCAACCTGACACGACCTCTGTACATCTCCAGCAATGGGAAAATCAATTTACAGATTAATCATTTCTCCCCTCAAAAAAATTGTAAAAGCCAAAAGACCCATTTCCAAGAGGCATCATCATCCATCATCATCAATGTCATCATCACCAGAAGGAATCTGTCTTGTCTCTGATAATGAAAGCCTCCTGGGCTTTGCTGAGCTTGACTCAACAAGTCCTTCAGATGATAAATTTAATTCTGCAGTTCCTGATGAAGATCCTAAAAGATGCCTGCTTGGGGCATCAGCTGAAGGCGATGCTGAGATATTATAGGTAAAAAGTCTCGTTGGGTGGTCAAACTTGCAACTTGGGCCAAATTTGCATATGCCATAACGTGAATAGAAGACACACAAAGGCTCTCCCTGTAAGAAATGGGACAGTGCCTCTGTCAGCTTGTACTAATTCAATCACAACTCACAAGACCAACTTAATCCAATTACCAGAAACATAATTTTTTTATACATTTATGTACATAACCAAAGGAAAAGAAGACCATATACAAGTGTACTCAACAGAATTCACATGTATTTTAAGAAATAAGAAATAATATCAAAGTCACATTCACACATTTCCATATTTTTAAGAATGACATGATTAATTGAGAACTACAGGGAGAAACTCTATCGCAGTAGGTCATAATTTGATCATCTAGATAATATAACAAGGAATAACTTCAAAGTTCAAACTACTCATATTGATCAGGATTTCATATCTCATATCAAGATAATTACCTAAAACAAACCCTTCCAACTTAAGTTCACTTCAAATCATAGTTAAACTTAGAACTACAATTCTTCTAATGTCTACATTCAAGGGTTCAAGCATCAGCATAATACCAAATGCAAATTTTGGTAATAGATGGTGCTACGTGCTATAGTTTAAGCTCCATCTATAAATGGATAAAATTTGAATCTGAAAGTATACAAGTTTTTGAAAGTAAAGGAGCAATATCAACAGAGTACATATTGCTCCTTTGCTTTTACTTTTTTAAATAGTCTTAATATTTATAAATATTAATACATATATCTATTTTGGATTTACTTCAACATTCTTTAGTATTTTTTATTTCAACATAAGAAATAATAAAAAAGAGTAATAATGAAAGGATAGAAATTGAAGTATAGGTAATTTTGATATAGTATTTTTATAAAGCCCTTTGTAGAATGTTATCTGTAGAACTAGGACATGCCACTTCCTAATAGCAAGGCCATTTTAGGAGAGAAAAGGAAGGCATGCAAATTCAAACAAGAGATAATGTAAGAATAATTGAGCAATAAATCATATGAATCATGGGAGAAATTAAAGAGACTAATTCTTGCTCAAATCCTCACAATTATAAATTCAGAAATAATAACATTTAAGCCTATGAAAAATCAACTTGGTATATAGATCGAACTTCATAGCAAGAACTGAACTCACAGGTCGTAAAGGAAGGCCCATGGGACTCAAGACACAATCAGGAGCAGGAATTAGCCTCTCACGTGGGTGGTGAAACCGACAGACAGCACCAAACTTACAATCTCCTGTCTTCATGTAGAATTGGCATTCAGGCTGACCAGGTCTCTCAGGAAATATGTTATCCCTCTGCAATGCATAAAACCCTACAGGAACTGTGGCAGAACGGAATTGAGAATATGCCCCATGTGATCCTGCACTGGCTAGTTCACCTTGGTGAGAAGTTCCATGTGTTTGATTATTTCCCATTGTTTGCTGTGAACTGTCTGACGTAGAGATTGCCCCTATTTGACTCTGCAGAATAAATATTCCATTAGGATGTTGAGATGTATCAGCAATGGCAGGCTCTGGCAAAACAGGAGGGTGCCTATATGCCATGTTGCATTATTACTAAGAGTTAAAAGATTGATCACCAAAGTATTCTGTTGAAAGACAAATACCGTAAAATTTCAAATCAATGCAGGTGAAACTTCAATTTTACAGAGGCAAATTGACTCTAGAGACAGGTATGCGGGATGGGAATACATCTTAGTGGCACTACAATGTTAAGAATCTAGTCTACAGCCAGGATGCAATGAAAAAACTTAACTCCAATTGAGGCATAAATGATGGAAACAAATGGCCTTCTACACATGTTAACGTAATCCTGATATAGTGAGCCTTAGAATTAGCCACAACATAAAATAACACTGTTTTTATTTCTTGTTTGTGACCTCTAAGAAGAATGGGTGAGCAAGCTTACACTGTAGGCACTCCACCCAGGCACTGAAACCACTCCCTGAGGTAGAATTAAGGGTGTATAACTCGAAGGACCTTGCCACCGAGGACTAGGAATATAAGATGCTCTCGACCAATTTGTAATTCCTCCAGTATATGACTGCTGACCTGGTGTAGTTGGGGAATGGACAGTAGGGTAAACAGGAGAACCCCGTAATGAAAGCATCATATTACTTGGTTGAGGATGGTGGAATTTGCAAGTGTTCCCAAACTTGCATTGTCCTGTTCTCAAATAATAAGTGCATTCAGGTTCATTCTGCAGAAGCAGGAAAAAATAAAAATATGAGCATTAATAATTTAATATCAACCAGAAAGCAAACAAAATATCTACAAAAAGGTTCAGGCATTCAACGGTCAGAGAGTACATATCTGCATGCAAGAATGCAAAATTTTGGAAAATATAAATATGACAAACAGGAGCAATAACTGAATTTATGCAGGTCTGACAAGTTAATGGTTACCAAATGAGCAAAGATACAATAATGAGCCGCCAGTTTATAAACTACCATTATAGTCATACTTATAAATGAATGAGAGGGGATCATTAAAAACTAACAAGGCGGAGTGGATAGCCTAAAATATTTAAGGCAGCTCTTCCTGCAACCCCAGCCTGATCTCTAGGATGATGAAATTTGCATGTGACTCCAAATTTGCAAGTTCCTGTCTTCAGATAGTACTGGAAAACAGAAAAAAATATATCTCTTTGTTATGGTAACTATATAAATAAAGAATGCATGTCAAGTAACAAATTAGTGCTTTGCAGTACAAGGTTGATGTTAACACCTATGCTATTACTCATAAAGATCACAAATTACAAATTCAAATAAGAAAATCTGACCAAAACAAGCATTTATAGTTTGACATGAAGTCATTTCCTATTTTATTGTAGCTAGATCCCATGATGCTATCAGTGCTTAAATCAAGAATTATTACAAGCCAGTAAGGGTTGTGTACAATATATATGTGTACACACACACAGAGAGAGAGAGAGAGAGAGAGAGAGAACAATCAGTTCTTAAGACAGATAAGGATAAGATTTTATTTTTAATTCACCTTAACTTTTCAATTGTTTAACAGGTATTTTAGTAACATGAGAACCAAATTGAACTAAGTCTAAATAGACCTAAACCAATTAACTCAAAATTTAGGCAACATAAATTCTTTAAACTTTCCACCCAAAGTATAATATTTTTAAGATAAATATAATATACAACTCCAGAAAAAAGAGGACATAAAACAAATAGCATGCAACACAGCTTGACAGTTTGTCCTTGTCTCTCTACCTCCACTTATCACAACTTCCAAATTTACTGACATTTTAGGCTTGCCTTATTGGCCATGAGAACTCATGATAGTGTTGACTCCAAATCCAACAATTACCCCCACAAAGATTGCTATGATTTGGAATATTTGCTGAACTCCACCTTAAGAAAAGCAGATTCCCATATCATACACATAAATAAGCAATATGCACAACTTAAGAAACTAGTACATGCCTGACATTCTGGTTGCCCTATTCTTTCTGGGAACTCGCCTATCATCCTTGCAGTGGCAATAGCCTGATAATATTCACAATAAAACTTATCAGGTATTTATATTCTCAACATAATGGAGTGAGATCAAAATAAAAATCACCAATATTGCAGCAAGATTCAACATTATGTAGCCCAGCTACATGAAATTTACTCACATAAAAAGAGCATATATGTGTAGATTGAGATGTGAACATGCATAAAAAATGTTCTATACATCTTCAAAGGAAAAAAAAGTGTCCTATACACCCAGAGCTAATTAGGTTGTTGCATCAAGGAAGGAAGAAAAAACAGTGATATTCTCCCTAGTGTCTATGCGCGGCTTTCCTATCTACCAACCATTACAATAAATAGAAATGCATGTGTTTTGAATAGGAATAAAGTGAAAAAGAACGTGTTAAACAGAAAATGTTGACAACAGGCAAATACTTTCAACTTGTGTTGCTTCTATAGCCAGGGCAGATTTTAATATTTATGGTACCAAGAGGAATGATTCAAAATGAATCCATCTGAGAGCAAGAAGAGTTGTGTATCTAATCCAAACACATATATTATAAATATGTACAAATACATCGCAACTTGGTACCAGCTTCCGGTTAGGAGGATGATTAAATCGACAAGTTGCACCAAATCTACAAAGGCCTGTTCTGATATAATATGAACAATCTGGCTCCCCTGGGCGCTCTGGATACGGTCCAGATTCCATTGTTTCACTTGGCCTCAATTTCATCATCCACATTGAACCTGAAATAACATTGATGTAATCTAAACCTACATATGCGTGAGACAGTAACACAAGTGTAATATCATCATCGATGCATACAATGTCCGATACTCTATTTTTAATTTTATTTCCCTAAATGTAATAAAAAATTTGGCTCATGAACCTACAAAATTCTAAACCTACAATCAGCAAAATAACACATGTCCGTGCAAGTTCCGTACGGGAAAGCTTAAATAATGGTAAATAGTAATTATTTTACTTTTAAAAAAATACTGAAACAATAACGGAAAAAGAAAAAGGAGTTTTCAAACAAAATAACGCTTGATCGAAATTGAATTGATTCTCAATTTCTCATAGTAGTTTAAATTAGGAAAGGCAATTGATCTAAATTGAACAAGTAACATATCCTAGTCCAGAGGCACAGCATTGGAAGATGAAGAGAATCATTTAGTTATATATGTTCGTTTATTCATTTCCTATTCATTTCCTCTGAAGATGCTAAATGAATTCCCGGTTAAATCAATTAAAGGCATGTGAAGGAAATAAGAGAAAAGGGGAATAGTAGCAGCAAGCAAGTGATGATCGTGGATTGCGAAAATTAAAATACGAAAAAAGAAAAGATAAAAGGAACCTTGAGGTTGAGTTAGGGGTGGTTGGGATATGGGAATTGCGGCGTGGAATTCCATGAGATTGAGGACTAGGAACGATGAGGTTGAGATTCTCCATTCATAAGCTATCAATCGCCTTCAATTCTCATTTCCCACCTTCTTCTCTTCTCTCCCCATTGCTCAAAAGAGAAGAAGAAAAAACAGAAACTTCTCTTCTCCACAAACCAGACCTCACCACAACCCTCATCTCTTCTTTTTCTCTCTCTCCTCCTTCCCCACGTGCCATCACTCTCCCCTTTCTTTTTTAATCCATTATTATATTATTGTTTATTTTTTTACTTTTCTCCCTCGCGTCATTGCATATTCATAAATAAATTAACCAATATTTATTTTTTTAATTGATAAATTTAAATGCACACGTCTCACTCTCGCACGCGCTGCTTTTTCCCATCGCATTTATCGCTGCCGCCTAACTCAAACCACAGACTCTCTCCCCTTCCCCTGTTTCTCTCTGCCTTTTTAATGTAACATCCCTGCTCTTTCTATTCCCGTATCATACCAATTTTATTCTTTTTCGTTTTTTTATAAAAGAATTTTATTATTAAATTTTTTTACTTACAAAAATTCTTTATTTATTAAATCGTTAATTAATATTTTCAAGATAATAATTAAAAAACTGTTTTTATATAATTTTTTAAATACTAAAAAACGTTGACATATTTTAAAGTAAATTAATGGTGCCCATTTTATATTTTATATTTTTTATATATAAAAAAACTACACAAACTTATTTAGAATCCATAATAAACCATCTAACTCAAATCCTCATCGACGGTTGAAATTAGACTTTGTTGGATCAAAGTGTCGAGTTGGTGCCTCATCTACCATTTTTGTTTCACATTCAGTGAATACTAGAGGCTTGGAAGTAAGATGATATTTGACAAGCTACTGATTATAGGTATCTTTATTTTTTATTAGATAAAATTTTGAGAGACACAGCATTGCTGTTTATTTGCGACATATCCATGGTGACGATGACAATTGTGAAATAGTATAAATGAGAATTGGAAAACGAATTCGATGACGAATGCTGAGCTGAGCAAAGTGGAAACAGCAAAACATTAAAACCATCGTTGACGCTACGTGTTGGTAATCCCAATAAAGTTTCATTTCAATACCGAAACGGATTAACCATAGGCAAAAAAATATATATATATTAATCGGATAAGTTGGATCGGGTCATTTTGGATATAATATTCAGATTTAAGTAGATTAATTTAGTTAAATACGGTTGACATTTTTTAACCAGTTACATTCGATTCAGCTGAAAAAATTACTATAAAAATCTATAAATTTTTTAGAAATAAAATGATAAATGAAAAATATATTAAATAACATGATGTTCAATGTATTGATTTTATCCTAGTATTTTCCCTTTTACAATAACGCTTAAAGCATGATACAATAAGTAATAATCCTTTACATATTAATTCTATCGAAGCAAACAATTAGAACGAAAAAAGTAACAAAGTCACGAATCTATTTTAAGTATTATAAAATAACTTATAACTTTTTTTATTTTTTATATATATATATTAGAATTTTATATCCTTTATTCCTGTTCAATAGTTATTGCTGCTTCAACTCTCATGACTTTGCTCTCAAACTTAATTGCACCGCTCACTCTTTATTTTTTAAGATATTGTCACCAACCCCCTTTGTCCCTTAACCCTCGAAATGCATGGTATTCCATCGACATTATCATCCATGACAAAATACTAATTTAAACCAGCAGTTTCAATTATGACTATCGCAAACTCTAAACCTTCAATCCCTCAACACAATTAATTTGATTGACTTAAACTTCCTCACAACCTCACCAATAGTTGTTGGTACACTTTTGACCATATTCTTCTCGATGACAGAATCATTATCATTGGTGGGTGTTCCTCCTCCACCTATGAGTACATCCCTAAGAGCGACATATTCTTTACTCTTATCCTAACAAAAACTCTCACTAGTAAATTGCTACCTTTCAAATCCACTCGATTACTTGTACAAGTTTTCAAACTAAAAATAGAGTTATTCGATGACTTAATTGTCTGAATGAGCCTAGAAATTAAGATTGTTGATCGGTTCTAAATTTTACTAACCGAAGCCGACCAAACCTGTCCATTGTCCACCTCAACAAACAATATGTTAGCTAATTTCTTTTTTTGATTTTTTCTTATGTACTCAAATGTTAGGAAAATTGCATAATAATAAAAATAATAATTTAATTTAAATATATTAATATGTTATTATTTAATTATGAATTAATGCATAAGTAAAAATTATTAATTTTATAATAATTAATATAAAAATATATGTACAATATTAATAAAATTAATTTTATTGTCAATATATCAAATTAAACTCATAAATTTTTATAAAAATTAGAGTATCTAATGTATTGAGAATTATATATATATAAACAAGTTTCATTTTTAATTTCAAATACTTTCATTTATTTATTTTTCTTCTTTTAAGCAAATAAAAGCTTAAATAATAATCCCCTTTAAAGATTTTATAAAATAACTCTTGCAAATCCTAAAGCCAACACTATTTTGTCTTTTTATTTTTTGGTCAACCACAGTTTTGTCTCGTTAACAGAACATTCCAATGCTTCTCTTAATGAACAAAACTTTATTTTATCTCTAAATTTAATTTTTTTTTGTTTTGTGACCTAACATACTTTTCCGTTCATTCGTCACATTCAATTCATTTTTTTCCATAATTCAACTACTTACTACTTGAAATTATAACTTTAAATATGCACCAGAGGCAATGAATTAAAATAAAAAAGAATGAAAACACACACACACACACACATATATATATATATATATATATATTAATAAATATATTTTTAATCATTAAATTCAGAGCATATCACAAAACATGTACAAAACAATAGTTAAATTAATTAAAAAGCAAAGGGATAATTTGGAAAACAAGTTAAGAAAATCGGAAAGAAAAAATTATGCATGAAAACGTTGACTATAAAATGTGGAAATCGGAAAGCAACATTCTTTTTTTTTTTTTTTTTTTGGAAAAAAATGAAAAGTGGCAAATCTATGCTTTGCTAAATCGGAAAGCAAACAACTGTATACAATGCATCGTTTTCTACAAATTTTTGTGAAATTAAAAAAAGATTCATACCCATTACTTGTCCCGAAAGGTGAAGAACAAAGTTTGAGAGAGGCATGTCAGGATTGGAGTGATATTGTGATATTTATATAATATCTACTATTTCAAAATTAATTTTCTAAGCTTATAAGATCCCTTTTATTTTAACAACTAAAAGAACCCAACTTTCATTAAAATTTATTATCTTTATTTCTCAAAATCAACTTTAAATTAGGATCTTATTGATCAATACAGACATTGGTTAACGAATTGAAAGCAATTTTTTAATTAAAAATTGTATTAAAGATTATAAAAGAATATGTATTTAGTATTTTTTGGACAAAAAAAATTACTTTAAATTTCTTAACCAATGCTTGGAATACTAGTTAAAATTTTTAAAAAATTAATGTCAACAAAATTTAAATTAAGAAAATACCAAGATGATATTATTACAGTAGGAAAATTATGTACTACTTTTATAAATAGGCTTTACAAGACCTAAAAATAAAAATAAAATATTCACTTCATTAAACAATGTTATATTCGTGCTTTTCTAAATTATAAGGAGAGAGACCAATGATAATCGATGATAGTCATAATTATGCGATGATTAGTGCACAAAGCAAAGAGGAAACAAAAGGAGCAAAAACAATGGATGATAAAATTTGGAAGCATTGGTTTTAAACTTTCAAAAAGTGAGAGGCAAAAGTTCATATAATGAGGACGACTTGCTGTTTTTGCGTGGAGTTGAGATTGACACAATACATATAAATAAAACTGTCGGCACTTAAAAATAAAGCAAATGAATTGGATTCCCTTTCTTTCTTTTTTGGGCCCTTTCGCCCGTTGTATTACGGATAATATAATGATGACTTTTTGTAATTGTTTAGATATTAATTAACATGACAATAACAATATTACTAATTCTTATGGACAGTTGATTAAGTTTTGCTAATTAACTTTAAATGAAAAGAATAATACAATCCTAAAATATTTTTTATTATAAAAGGCCGCAATCTCAAAACATTAATTTTTTATTATGTCAACATTTATTATGAAAATTAGAACGGCACGTCAACTATATTTTTATGAAAAATGCTAAATATTATCCTTGGTAAAAATTAAAGAATTTAAAATTCTTTTTACAAAATATTGATGTATTTTTATTATATTTTGAATATATTTTTACTATAATTTTTAATTAATATTCTTAAGAGTGTGATTAATGATACCTTTATTCATAAATTTTAATTTTTGTACATCTTTTAATTTATTTATTATATTCTTCTTTTACTTTTATCACATCTCTTTTTTTTTCTTATAGTTTCTTTCTTTTATCGTTTTAAGTTAGAGTTGATACCATAAGTAATATTATTTTTTGTACTTAATTTTTAAAAAAAATTATATATACATTATAAAAATATTCTCCAAAAAAAAAAAACTAAAATAACATATAACTTTGAACATAAAAAAAAGTATTTTCTATTATTTTTTCTTACCATAAGTTTTTTTTTTCTAATAAATGGGGTTTAAAAGTCCAAAAATAACAATTAGAAAACAGATCTAGGGACCCAAGTCCCTAAAGAATCCAAATTCATAAAATGAACTAAAGACGAAGGAGCCTCATTCATAATTAAAACCCAACTTAGCCAACCAATCAACACTTTGATTGGCTTCCCTCAATATATGGCTAAATCTAATAAACCTAATATCTTGTAATAAACTTATAATCTCACTAATAAGAGGGAAACAAAATGATTACAGTTCTGAGGGTTAACTATTAAGGATATAACTTCTTTTGAGTCACATTATACCCAAATAAATTGAGTTTCTTTAAAAATGACAAGATGAAGGCCTCAATACACCGCCCACAGCTCTGTAGAAATCTGCCGCCAGTCTACCACAATTGTCCCTAATAAAACCTCCATAACTAGCTACTCCAGCTGCAAGAGAAACAATTTCATCCATATTTAGTTTTAGCTGTTGGCTCAGAGGGAGGAGCCATTTGGTGAGGCACCCAGTACCCTGCCAAACAGACCTAAAATTCTGGTTCACTCTACCACAAAAGAGAAGATAACCAAATCAACTTGAACTTTAAACAACAAAGACTCATTAATAAGGGGA